GAAAAGAAAAATTAAAGTTTTAAGTTCTTGATATAAAATCGGGTTTACAAGTAAATGTCTTGTTTCAACTTTCATGTTTAAGTGGAATCATGGAGCCGCCCTGTCCTTGCATCCAGTGTTCTCGGAGCTTCCAGGGGACAGCAGCGGCGGAGGGTGACAGGGTGAGAGGGTGACGGGGTGAGAGGGAGACAGAGCCCAGCCCTGCGGAGCTGCGATAAGCAAATACAGCCGCTCCTATTGGCCGCCCCTCCTCCCCGCCAGATTTTGACAAATAATCAGATTGAAAATCAGGGAGGGGAACAGAAGAGGGAAAAAAACAACAGAGAGAGAGAAAAGGAGAAGTATCTAATTGTGCAGAGTCTCGGGCTGACGGCTGGAGCCGACCAACCCGCAGAGAGTGGCTGCAGGTGCCAGCGCAGGACCGGGAGGTGAGACGCGACTGGGACAGGTGAGTGCGGAGTGGCCCTGCCGGCTGCGCGGCTCCCTCCGCACGTCTGACTGTCCCGCAGGCCCCCTGGCCCTGGGCAGCTCTGGGAGAGGAGGGGGCGGCACGTCCTCTTTGGGGTCCTGGCTCTGGGCCCGAGCCCCAGCCAGGTGGTGGCGGGAGGCGGCTGGAGGCTGAGCCCGCGCAGGAATGCCTCCACCTCCCAAACGGTCCTCGGCTCCCCGGTGTCACTCCTGCCCACGCATACCCACCCCCCAAAGACCCACATGGCACCGCCCAGGCCGGGGACCTGAGTGGGGGTCCCCCAGGCCCAGGGCCCTGGGCTGGAGCCCTTCTTTCCCATGAAGCGGGACAGGGCTGAGAGCCATGGAGTTATACCCTGGCGCCCACAGTCCCGGGATGCTGGGAGCGAGGTGCGCCTGCTGCCTGCTGCCTGCCGCCTGCCAGGGGGAGAGGGGCGCCCCCGCACCGCCCCCAGCCTCCAGGACCGCGGGCTGCGGATGGGGACCGGAGTCACCGCCTTTGCTTCCATTTCGGGGAGAAAAAGCCAAGCTGGAGTCGGGGCGCTTGTCTAAGGCAGAGCCGTGGGGGCCGCGCACGGACTGGCTGTGGGCGCACGCCATGGCTTTTTTCTGGGGAAAAGTCGGGAGCTTTCACGGCATTCCGGGTGGGGTGGGGATTCGTGTGCGCCTCTGGGCTGGGATGAGGGGCCGGGGGAGCGGCACCCACCCCTGGGCGCAGCGGGAAGCGATCCCTCCGCGACCCGGGTGGGTTCCTGTCCTCGGAGCCGGCGGGAGGGAGTCTCCTCAGGAGGCCAGTGAGGTCTCTTCCAGCTCAGACATGGGGCCGGTTTCCCTGCAGAAAGTCCTCGGGGGCTTCCGAGCTGCTGGTGGGCGCGAGGGTGGAGGCACTCAGAGCAGCCAGACCGTGTGGGCGGCTGTCAGGGGACCAGGTCCCCCCAGGTCACACACACACCCGCCCGCTCCCCCCGGAATTCGCCGGGTCTCCCGCTGCAGCAGCAGCGCTGGGCTCGCTCCAGAACCAGGCTGCTCTTCATGTGTTCCCAGAAATTCAGTGTGTGTGTGTGTGTGTGTGGAGGGTCTGCTTTCCTCTCGAATGCAGAAACTCGCAGGACACGCCCTGCTGCTCACTTTGCTCTCACGGAGGTGAATGTATGCACCCCGAAACTGGCCACGCTCAGCGCCCATGTACAGCCTCTCAGCTGGCAAAACTGAAACTGTCCATTAAACAGTAACCCTCCCTCCCTCCGGCACCCATGCGCCCCTTTCGTCCGCACGTGCTGCTGCGGGCACCGCGGGGAGCCAGCCGGCGGGGCCTGGCGTGTCTCCCGGTGTAACGCCCTCCGGGTCACCCGCGTGGCAGGTGCGGACTTCCTTCCTTTAGGCAGGCATGTGGGTCGCGGTGGCCCACATCCCTGGGTCCCTGGGTCCCTGGGTGGGCGCTTGGGTCACCCCCACCTTCCGGCTACTGTGAACACCGCTGCTGGGAGCTGGGGTGTACAGGTGTCTGTTCCAGTCCCTGCTCTCAGTTCTTTTGGGGATACACCCAGACACTGTACTGATTCACTCACTTTTTAAAAAATCCTCATCCGAGGTTATTTTTTCCACTAATTTTTAGAGAGAGTGAAAGGGAGGTGGGGGAGGGGAGAGGGAGAGAGAGAGGGGATGAAAGAGGGAGGGAGGAGGGAAAGGGAGAGGGAGAGGGAGAGGGAGGAGGAGAGGGAGAGGGAGAGGGAGAGAGGGGTTGAAAGAGGGAGGGAGAGAGGAGGAGGAGGAGAGGGAGAGGGAGAGGGAGAGAGAGAAACATCGATGTGAGAGAGACACATGGACTGGTTGCCTCCCCCACACACGCCCCGCCTGGGGCCAAGGGTCGAACCTACAACCCAGGTCCATGCCCTTGCCTGGGAATCGAACCCGTGACCCTTTGGAGCACGGGCTGGGCCCTAACCACGGAGCTACCCCTTGCTCTGACACCCGCTCTCTGACGCGGGAGGGCCCCTCTGGGCGCGCCTTCCGAGCTTCACAGAAAGCGCCCGCTGCCCGCCCCCTCGGTGACCCCGCTCACTTCCCCGCTCCTTCATGGAAAGGGCGGCCTGTTTGTTGTTTCCCCTGAGCTGGTCTTCAGACAAAAGGAAGTCCGAGGGCAGCGGCTCTGAGCAGAGCGGGCTCTTACCCAACCTCCAAAAGGGGAACCCGGGGACCGGCTCCTCGGCCAGGTGGGCCGCCCTGTGCCGACGGCAACGGCGCGCACGGGGTCTCGGCAAAGGGAAGTGTGGAAACCTTCGTCCAACCGTCCCTCCGAGGGGAAAGCCGGGCCGGCGGGCGGCCCGGCGGTCAAGTTCAGGGTCACCATACCAGACGCGGCCCCTCGGGGACGCCCGGGGCTCGGAAATCACAGGCCTGCTGCTCCACCTGGAAGCCGGGGTGCGGCCCCCCCTTCGGGGCTTTCGGCCGAGGCTCTGGTTCAGGCCGGGGCCTCGCTGACGGGGTTGGAGGAGATGCTAACAGAGTCTCTTTCCGGAGCCGATACCATCACGGCTGTTCGTGAAGAAACCGGGCTTTCACAATCTCTGCTCTCCCGCCTCCCCGGCCGTGAATCAGGACGGCTGTTCATTAACTCCCAACAGGTGATCGCTTCCTGTTTTGTTTTTTTTAAGCTCAGCTCACAGGCCGGAGGAAGTTCCTCTGGTGCCCCGGCTCACGGAGCTCCGGAGCCTGTGGTCATGGACCGCGATGCTGAGCGCAGGGCTGGGGGCAAATCCCACGGGAGAGGCGCTGAGAGACCCTGGCAGGCCACTTTCCTCTCCCGCCTCAGTTTACCCCGTGACCCAGGAGGCCGATCGCCCTTCCCTGGCCCCGTGGGTGTGGGATCTGAAGACAGCGCACTGAGGAGCTCTCAGCCCTGTCCGGTCTCCTCCGTGCCTGTCGGCTCGGTGCCCTCTGCACGGGATAAGCACTCCCCCACCCCCGGGACCCCACCCCCCGTCGGGTGGTCAGGAGTGTGGGGCCTGGGCTGGGCGCCCGGGCCTGCTTCGCCTCGCTCGGCCCTGGGATCTGAGCCCACCTCTCAGCCTCGGTGTCTCCTCTGTGAAATGGGGGCGGTGAGCGAGCTGACGGCAGGTCGCCTGACTCAGTAATAAATGCCACATAAACCACCGCCTTCTGATGCAGAGATAGAGGGGCCGGCAGGGAGGTCCCAGAACAAAGGGCACTCAACCCACCGGCTGGCCTCGCCAGGGCATCGAAGGATGAGGAGGGGCAGAAGGGGCTGCGGAGCCGGTGGGCCGGGGCGGAGGCAGGAAGAGGACGGTCCCCGGAGATAAGGCGACGCGGCTGCCGGTGGGCGGGCCGGGGAGGACAGCAGGCCGGCGAGCCCCGTGAGGCCCAAATCTGGGAGCTGGCCGGGCCGCAAGGCTGAGTGTCACCTATGACCCAGGAGGTCACAGTTCGATTCCCGGTCAGGAGGCAGCCGACCCGTGATTCTCTCTCATCATTGAGGTTTCTCTCTCTCTCCCCCTTCCTCTTTGAAATCAATACAAAAAAATATATTTTAAAAAAGTCTGGGAGCTGGACAGACCTCAGAGCCGTCCAGTCCCACCCCCATCCCTCATTTCAGAGCCCAGAGGGGGCGCCTGGAACATGGCCCCTGGGCCCGGTCAGGGCGTGTCCCCACTCAGAGTGTGATTGCCGTGGCCCCTGCTGGGAGGGGGTGGGGGATGGGATGAGACAGGAAAGGCCTGAGCCGTGCCGGTCTTCATGGTTCATGGTGAGTCTTCCCTGGCCTGGGATGCCCAGCACTCGGCGCTCCCTGCAGCCCAGGCGCCACCCAGGGCACTGCACACGCCTGTCTGGAATAACGAAGGTCCGTTCTTCCCAGCAATCCCAGCACACTGGGCTGGGCACCGAGGGAGACAGCAAGGAGGGCGAGGCCTGGGCCGGCCGCAGGCAGGGTGGCCACTGCCCAGCCTCCTGAGGCCGCTGGGCGGCTCCGGGCACGGTTGGGGTCCCTCTCCTCCTGGCTCGGGGGGCACACTCCTGGAGGCTCCTCCGCTCGCTCTGCAGGCAGAGCTCCACGCCGGCCTATCTCCCGCCTCCAGGGGCTGCCGCCGGCCTTATCGCTGGCCCTGGCTGTGGCTCAGAGCAGCCGCCATCCCTTTCCCGCGCTTGGCCCTATCGCCCTGCCGCCGGGAGGGGCCTCCTCCGACCAGGCGCCCGGCGTGCAGAGAAGGGCACAGGCCCGGAGGCTAAGGGCACTCTCCCAGGTTCCATAAAACCAGAATCAAGGCGCCAGCGAGGCCGGTTCCTGCTGTGGGTCGCCAGGGAGTGTGCCTCCCGCCTCTCTGGGGGCCACCAGCACTCCTTGGCCTGTGGCCGCATCACTCCAATCCCTGCCTCCACCTCCACGTGGCGGCCCTAATCCAGCACCACCTCTAATTTGATCACATCTGCAAAGACCCTACTTCTAAAAAAGGTCACGTTCACAGGGTTTGGGTGGACAAGAACTTTTTTTTGGGGGGGGGGGATTCTGACTGCAGGGGGAGGCTGTCCTCCTCACCACGCTCACCTCTCCCCTTGCAGGTGCGGGGTGCACACTGACCATGCCCCGCTCCTTCCTGGTGAAGAGCAAGAAGGCTCACACCTACCACCAGCCCCGCGTCCAGGACGATGAACCCTTCTGGCCGCCCGTCCTGAGCCCGGGTGAGTGACAACAGCACCCTGCTGCACCCCGGCCCTGCCCCCCGCCCCACGGCGCCCCCCCAGGCCTGGGCACAGGGGACCTGTCCCTGCTGGCTGGCTGGCTGAATGAATGAATGAATGAATGCATGAGTTCACCCATCTCCTGGGCTCTGGGGGCCAGAGAGCTCAGAGTGGAGCTGGTCGGTAGCTGCAGAGGAGGGTGTGTGGGTGGCAAACGAGGCCCGATCCAGGGCCTAGAAACCGAGATGGTCCAGTTCTGCAGGGTCCCCCCGGGCCTCCAGCCGCCCCCGTCTGGGCAGAGCCACCACCACTCTCTCCAGGCCCCCTCCTCCCGGGGAGCGAGTCCTCCCGCCGGGTCCCTCCCAGGGCTGCGGCCGGGGGCGCTGAGGACCTTGTCTCCCACAGTGGCCAGCGACCAGGTCCCGAGCAGCCACCCTGCCCTCGGCACCCTGCTCCCAGGCCCGCACCTGGACTGGCCCGACCTCAAACGGGAGCCAGCGCTGGAGCTGGACCAGAGCTGGGCCAGGATGGCCTCGGCACCAGGTACCTGGCCCACGGCCCCCAGCCACTCCCCAGTGAGTGCGAGGGGCGGAGGGAGCTCGGAGTCGGGGAGTCAGGGCTGCTGGGCTCTCGGGCTCCTGTGTGGGCCCTCCGTGGCAGGACCCCATTTCCGGAAGGACTCAGTGTGGGGTGGGGGAGCCGCTGGTGGACTGATGAGTGGGTCCAGTGGGAACTCGGGGGCTTACACACTGACCCCCTCCGTGCAGGGGAGGGGGTGGGCGCCCTGCGTTTAAACCCGTCACCACCAGGCCCGTGTCCCGCTCTCCACAGAGGGTCCTGCCGGGACGTCCCAACCACCAGACAGGGACTCGCCAGCCTCCAGCTCCCCGCCGCTCTACAAGCCCAGCTTCTGCTGGGATGCCCTGGCCTCAGCCTACAGCCACAGCTACCGGCAGGCCCCCTCCACCATGCAGTCCGCCTTCCTGGAGCGCTCCGTCAGCCTGTACGGCAGCCCCCTGGTGCCCAGCGCCGAGCCGCCCTTGGACTTCAGCCTGCGCTACTCGCCGGGCCTGGACGCGTACCACTGCGTCAAGTGCAACAAGGTGAGCGCCCGTCCAGGCCCGCTGGCAGAGCGGGCGCGCGCAGCTGGGCGGCCCCGTGCACTGCGGGTCCCCAGGTGGGATCGGGAACTCACAGCCTTGTCCCCGCCACCAGTCCCTGAGCCCTGACCGTGTGCCCAGCCCTGTGCTGAGCACGTGACACGCATGAGCCGGGGGAGGCGTTGGCAGGTTCAGAAAGGTTGATTCACCTGCCCAAGAGCACACAGCAAGGCGCGATCAGAACCAGGTGCACGCCTGCCTCCGGCCCACTGTGGTCTTTAACCACTGGGCTGCCGATTCAGCTCCAGAGAGGGCAGCGAGGGGTCTTCCGGGCCCCAAGACCCACTTTACGGACAGGAAACGGAGCCACAGAGGGAAAGGGACCCCCCGCCCCCGCCCCCCATGCCTCATGCGCTGCCCGCACCCCCAGGTCTTCTCCACCCCACACGGGCTGGAGGTGCACGCCCGGCGCTCCCACAGCGGCACCCGGCCCTTCGCCTGTGACGTCTGCGGCAAGACCTTCGGCCACGTGGTCAGCCTGGAGCAGCACACGCACATCCACTCGCAGGTGGGCCCCGAGCCAGGACCCTCTGCTCCGCCTCCTCCGGGAGGCCCGGGCTACGGCTGCCCGTCAGCCTGCCCCTGAGGCGGCCGGGGGTCCCTCGCCGCCTGCGGCCCTTGTCTGAGCCCCCGTGCCCGCTCCTAACTCCCTCACCCCGACGGGCCGAGGGGGCTTCACGCACAATTGCAAGAGGCCTCGACCTGCGGGGCAGCAGGGAGTCTGAGGCTCAGAGGGGCGGCCCCGCCCCGCCCCGCCCCCGGGTCAGGACAGAAGCCCTCGCTTTGAGGCCCTTGACTCTCGGCCTCCCAGAGTGAGGCTTACTGCGCGCCGGGCCCCACGCAGCCCTGCCCGAGGCAGGAAGCCCTTCCTCGGGGTCCCACGCTGGCAGAGCAGCCGCCAGGGCCGGAGCCGCTGGCCCGGCGTCAGGTGGGGAGGCAGGAAATGTCGCGAGAGGTGCATTCGCGAGCACGAACCGTGGGCCAGTCTCTCCCTGCAATCCTCCCGACGTCCCAGGTCATCGCTGCTCCTGTCCCGAGTGCAGATGAGGAAACTGAGTCTCAGGCGGGTAAACGACTTGCCGGTGGCTAGGCGGCTAGTAAGATGCAGAAGGCAGAAGCAGGCCTCCACCAAACCACACCACGGCCATCGCGCCTCAAGGAACTCTGGGTTAAGGGGCATGAAATGTGACCCCCTCCCCCCCCCCTGCTTCCCCCCTAAAAAAACACACTCCCAGATCAGTGGGTCCATCCGTCCGTGAATTTTGTTTGGGACAATGTGAGAGTCACAAGGAAAAATCCCACAGGAGGCCACTGGGGCCCGAGCCTCAGCCCATCCTGGGAGGCAGGAAGGGAGGCCCTGGGGCCTGCCCCTCCAGGCCGCCCCAACAGACTGTCCTGTTCCTCAGGGGATCCCGGCGGGGTCCAGTCCTGCGCCGGCGCCTGACCCCCCAGGGCCTCGTTTCCCCCGGCAGGAGCGCAGCTTCGAGTGCCAGATGTGCGGCAAAGCCTTCAAGCGCTCGTCCACGCTGTCCACCCACCTGCTCATCCACTCGGACACGCGGCCCTACCCCTGCCAGTTCTGCGGCAAGCGCTTCCACCAGAAGTCGGACATGAAGAAGCACACGTACATCCACACGGGTGAGGCCGCCAGCCAGCGCCACCCGCCCGGCCCGGCCCGGCGCTCGGGGCCGCAGGGCCCAGGCAGAGCCCCGGGGAACCCCCACCTCCCACTGTTACAAGGTCCCGGCTTTAGGGCAATGGGGTCAGGTACATTGGGGCGCCCCTCCCCTCCCACAGGAGGGCTGGAGGCACTGTGTTGCTTACATGCACTTAATGCACAGAGAAAATGCTGGAAGGAACCAGCACAAGTCAGCAGTGTGAGGGTTAGGGTAGAAGTGAGACTAGCAGGTGCATTTTTCACTCATTCATTCATTCATCCCTCCACTCATTCATGCATTCACTCCTCGGCTGTCGACTGAGTGCCTCTTTTGTACCCGGCTCTGTGCCAGGGGCTGCGTGAGATTGATAAAGCAGAGCGATCCAGCCCCCGCCCTCGCCAGGGTACAATCCGGTGCGGGGCGGGGAGGTGTCAGAGTGAAGGTGGTTGGTCCTGAGATAAAACATAATAAAATTCCAGAGAACAAACACAGGGCAGGGTGTTGGGTGCAGACGGCCCTGACGCGGTCCTTGCTGCCCCGCAGGTGAGAAGCCACACAAGTGCCAGGTGTGCGGCAAGGCCTTCAGCCAGAGCTCCAACCTCATCACCCACAGCCGGAAGCACACGGGCTTCAAGCCCTTCAGCTGCGAGCTCTGCACCAAGGGCTTCCAGCGCAAGGTGGACCTGCGGCGGCACCGCGAGAGCCAGCACAACCTCAAGTGAGGCGGTGCCCTCCCGCCCGCCCGGCCCGTCCTGGGTCTGCCACCCCGAGGGAGGCCAGCCTGGTGCGCCCGGACCCCCCGTCTCCCGGAGGCAGCGCTGCATGGGACCGTCTTGCAGCTTCTTTTGAGACTCACGAAACTGCTGTGTGACTTTGGGCAACTCGCTTTCCCTCTCTGGACCAGTGGTTCTCCTGCTGTGAAGTGTGGGAGCTGGGCTGGAGGCAGGATAACTTGGGTGCTTTCCCCAGGGGAGAGCCCAGAAGGCCGGAGCAGCCCCAGGTGAACAGCGACGCCACAATCAGACCAGACCCACAGAGCTGGGGCCCACAGAGAAATCCTCCTGGTGCCTTCTGCCCGCAGTGCCCGGACCCGGTCCCCCTGCCCGTTAGGGGCCTCTTTCGGGCTGCCAGATGGTCAGAGCCACCTCCTGCCCTGGTGGGATGCCCAGCACCCCTCTGCTTCAGCCAGACCTGCTGGCTGCCCCCCACTTCTGACGGGCGCTCAGCGGGGGTTTAGTCTGCCCTCAGGCTCCCCAGCTGGAGAAACCAGTAGTTAATGCTGTCAAAAGCCTGTTCCCCTCAACGCTGTAAATGGAAATAAACACACAGATTTACGTACATCTGACCAGCACTCACTAAGTGCCTCCTGGGTGCAAGCTGGTGTGTGAGGCTGTGGGAGGGGCAGGGGAGCTTTGAAATGCAGAGGCAGCTGCCTTCACTCAGCTTGGGGGCCGAGTGCCCGGCCACATGGAAAAGGCCCGAGCAGAAGCATTGGACACCACACGGTGCGACAAGGTCAGAGGTCACGTAGCGGGGGCTGTGTGTCCGTTTCCTGTGGCTGCTGCCACTAGTCACCACAAACTCAGCGGCTTCAAACAACACAAGTTTATTCTCGCACAGTCCCAGAGGTTCAGAAACCCAAGGTGAGTCACCCAGGGCTAGACTCGGGGTGTCACGGAGTACACCCAGCGAGAGGCTCCAGGGCAGATGGCGTCCAGAGGCCACGGAGTCCTGGGCTTGTGGCCGCCACCTCCAGCCTCAAAGCACACAGGCTGACCTCTCTGCCTCCCCTCCCGGCTCCTCCGCCTGCACCTCCCTGCCTCCCTCCCGAAAGGACCCTGGTGGTCAGCGGGGTCCGCCTGATCACTGGAGGGGGGGGGGGGGTACTGAGCAATGGCCCCCAAAGGTGACAGCCACGTCCTGGTCCCTGGAGCCCGGGGAATGCTGGCGCATTGGCAAGAGGGGCTTTGCGATGTGACGGAGGGAGGCCTGGCGCCGCCCTCGCGAGCTGTGGACTCCAGGTGAGCACCTCCTCTGTAGACGGGGAGCACAGCGGTCCATTCCTGGGGTCACTGGGAGGACCGAGACCAGGTGTGCACGGCAGTGGGCAGGCCCAGCACAGGGCGAGGACAAGGCCGGCTCGAGTGCCGCCCTCCCACGGTCACTCCCGTTTAAGATTCTCCCACCTCTGAGCGCTGAGCTCCCGGCTCCTGCTCACAGCTCAGGACCCCCGGAGCCTGGCGGGTGGCGGTCTGTGGGTAGCTGTCCCTTTGCTAGAAGGCATTTCTCTGGGCTCCAGCTCTGCACCAAGCCCAGGCCCGGCCCAAGCAGTGGACACCCCTAACTGAGTCACTTCCAGGTGCTGAGCAGAGCCCAGGCTTCCACACACTGCCTCTCACCTGTGCCACACGCCCGTTTCACAGAGGGGCAACTAAGGCTCAGAGAGGTCAGCCCACTCGCCTAAGGTCACACAGCGGGCGAGTGCAGAGCTGGGTCAGGATCTCTGATTCCAAGCCCTTCGGGGCTCCATTTACCTTTCCTCCCAATGACACCGGGAGTGTTTCCTCAAGTGCTTGCCTCTGCTGGGCCCGCACGGGGCTCTGAGGCCGTGGGAGACCGGGGACTCCCCGGCTCTGGGTTTGGCTGGGCAGGACCCCAGCCTAGTTCATTCCTGTTTGCCTTAGCCAGAATTCCCCTGAACAAGCCTGTCCCAGGGTGTGGGTGGGGTTGGACATTTGCATGGGGAGGTGGGCTCCCAGTTCCTGCGGCCGGAGGAGAAGGAAGGGCCTCCAGCAGCCAGAGTGCCGGGGCCAACAAGGCGGGAGACCTCCCTCCTGCTCTGGTCTGGGAGGTGGTGGAGCCCACACAGGGGTGAGGACTTGGCGAGAGCCAGCCCGCGGGCCAGGCCTGCCATGGGCTCCTGACCCCCGGGCGAGGGGCCTTGCCCTGCACCTTCTAGATCTGGGGAAGTGGGAGGGTGGGTGCTGGACACACACACACACACACACACACACACACACGAGCTGCTTTGCATGTTCCTTGTTTGCTAAACAAAACCACAGCAATACCAGGATTTCAGCCACTTCTGCGAAGGGCAGGGCGGGCCGAGGCGAGACAATGCGCCTTTCTTCGTGTGCCCAGGCTCAGGGTGATCAGGATTTAGCCTGTGGGCCCCTCCACTGAGTGTCCACACTGGGGGGGGGGGGGGGTACTGCAGCCTCAGAGCGGTGTGGGCTGACCCCGCCTGCACGTGGCAGAGAAAGGGACCGTGAAATCTGCTTCTCTCTCTTCTCCCCTCCACTGGGTCAGGGGCTGCGTGGAGTGCACCGTCCCTCCCCTCCCTCCCCGGAAGGGCGGTGTGCCCACTGAGGGAGGCTCTCAGAGGGCCCAGCCTGCAAGCCCATGCACTTCTCAGGCTGCGAGCGGGGTTCCCCGTCAAACCCTGTCCGTTCCTCAGGATCAGGCCTGCTCATCCCCCCTGGGACTGGTGGCCGACCGGTGGGTGTGGTGGGGAGCCCCCAACTGTGTGATTAGAGGGTGTTCAACTGTCTGTTGTCCGCTTCTCACCCCCACTTCCTCCTGCTTGGACTCCCACCACCCGGGTCTCAGTGTGTGAACCGGGGGGCAGCGTCCGGCCTGAGAAGGGGACGTGGCTTCCCTCGGTGACACCAGCTCACCGGGGCCCACAGAGGGGAGGCAGTGGCTCAAGTCACACCAGTCACAGTGCCCGTTAGCACCCGTCACACAGAATCCGGGTTTTCTGACCCGGTCTAGGGGCCTGCCCAGCAGGGGTATAGGGGTGGTCGCATGATGCCAGGGGACCCCGTTTACATGGAACAGGGTGGGGCTGGGGGCCTCGGAAGGTGCACAGGGGACTGGCACGGCCACCGACGGCGCCCTGACCCCACTGCTGAGGGCCGGCTGGGTGAGGGCGGGGCCATGAGAGACTTCAGGAGGGTGCGGGGGACTCCACCTAGAGCTTCGATTTACTCATCAACAAATAGCAAAACCAGCATTTTACCCTGAAACCAACTGGCCACATTAGGGAGATTACTTTTGGGAGAAAATGTTCCATCAGTGGTGGCAGCTTCAGGCTACACCCCAGCCCACGTGCTCTGTACCCTCCCGCATGGGGGTCACGTGGCCCCTGCAAACAAGTCACACCCCAGCAGGGCAGCCAGGTCCCCCTCCCTCCCACACACACACCTACCAGCCCCAGGACCAGGGCCCCTGAGGGGCACACTGGGAGAGGCCCAGAGGAGGCAGCCATGGCATCACTGATGAGGATGGAACTGTGTCTCCACAGGGCCGGCCCAGGCCTGGGTGTGTGGCTGAGTTGGCCCCCGCCCATCCCCATCTGCCACTGCCCGAGTGCAGAGTGCTGGGAAGGAGCGGACGGACGGCAGGGGAGGAGGCAGGGCCTGGATGCGGGGACACTGGGGGAGCGGGAGGGTGAGGGTTCTGGATTATGGAGAAGACTAGGTGTTATTCTGCAAGTTCCCTGGAGACCAGCGTGGCTCCCCCGTGGACCACAGACTCGAGTCCCAGCCCCTGGCCTGGCCTTGGCTCTCCTAGACTGGCTCCTACCCGGTGCGGCGCAGGCTATCAGAGAGAAAGGTGGGGCGAATAAGGGGATGGGGGTGGGGGGACAGAGGAGACTGACAGTGACTCTATTCTGGCCGGAAGCTGCGAGGCTGGGAGGACCACGCGCAGTGGGGCAGACCGTGGCGCGGGCGGGCAGCAGAGTCTCCTGAAGTCACCGCGGCCACGGAGTGCTTTGCAGGCCAGGAGCCAACAAGGAGCCATCAGACTGAGCCTGAGAAGGACATCCCGCGTGGGGGCGCGGCCTGGGGGCGCGGCGGGCCCGGCGGCTGGAGGCCCGCCCCGGTCAGTATCGGAGTGACCGCAGCTCCTGGTGTCCCCGGCTCCCGGCTCGGGCTGCCCCCGGGGAGCCCCTGCCCCGGGCAGGGAGGACGCAGAACGTCACGGCCAGACGCCCGCTTCCCTGAGACTCAGGACAAGCGGCCAAGTCTGTCCCGGGGGTTCTCGCTGCCATTTCTCACCCTCGCGCTCTGGCCACGGGGTTCCCTCCACCTCTCCCCTCCCGAGCCCTGGAAGCCCAGCTCAAGGACAGAGGCTTCCCACGCGTGCTCACCCCACACCCTCCGTGCTGCCCCCCGGAATCGGAGTTGAAGAAACAGTCCTGGGTGGGCACAGCGAGCAGCTGCAGGGCTGGCTTCTGAGGCCCCTGGGTCATGGGAAAAACTGGAACAGCCTAAGCTCTCGCGAGAGGAGACTGGCTGCGTGACTAAGGATGCGTCCACCTTAAACTCTCATGAGAAGACACTGGCTGAGAGACTAAGGATGCTCCCATCCTAAATTCTCGCGAGCGGAGACTGGCTGAGTGACCAAAGTTGCGCCCACTTTAAACTCTCACGAGAGAAGATGGCTGAGTGACCAGAGATGCTCCCACCTTAAACTCTCGCGAGAGGAGACTGGCTGCATGAGCAAGGGTTTGTCCACACAGGCCGAGCAGCCATGGGAGGGACAGGGTGTGCTATCCAACGACCAGGCGCTGCGTGGAGTGAAAAACGAGTTTCTCGATAGTGTGCGGTCCTGTGAGCACAGCAGCCTACTCCTGCAGCTGCAGAGAAACCACCTGACGTCCAGCCAACTGTGGAAGGCCGCTGTTCTGGTGGCCAGGAAGGAGGGCGGGGTCTCCTCCATGCCATCTGCAAAAGAGACTTGGATTTGTGTGTGTGTGTGTGTCTTTTTTTACTAAAAATTTTTTTTGAAGAGAAAATAGATTTTGCAGAGCAAATGTGTCAACAGAGGAAGCTGTCCGTGATATCGTAATGAAAAGTGGTTTAAAAATCACTATGCACCATGTGACTCCATTTTGTTAGTTGCAAACACGGGGGAGGAAGTCCAAGT